CAGAGAAACACAGAGAGACAGAAAGCGAGAAATCACCTCTTGGGAGGATGGCCACTCTGCAATCCCTTCTTCTTCATTCTCCTCTTGGGACCTTGGGCACACACGCACACGTGCCCAGCATGAGTTTAAGCCACTGGGTCTGGGACTTGAACCGTGGTCAACTACATAGGCGATATAGCCAATATACCATCTGCTGTTCCCAATAATTATTTTATTTAAATTTATTTAATTGATTATTTTGATTTGACTGGGAGTGGGGATACGAAAGAGAGAGAGAGAAAGAGAGAAAAGCAAGCCATCAGGTCCAGGACTCGAACTGCATTTGGCCATGTGGGAGTCTAACACTCTTAACCACTATGCCACCTTCTGGCCCCAAGCTATCAAACTTAAATATAGATGTTATTACTTTATCTCTTCATAAATAGATTCTAAAAGGAGCTCTAAAGAGTTGCCAAAAAGTTTTGAGCAATGTTGCCATTTTTTTAGTAGGTCTAGAAGGTGGTTTTTCATTTGTAGTTGATCTTCATGTTTTTTCAATAATTGATTGTAAAAATTTTCAAACATACAGCAAAAGTGAAAGAATTTTACATATACCTAGCACCTAAATAAGTATTAGTATCCAGTATTAACTTTTTTTATTTTTTCTTTTTATTTATTTCTTCAGTGAGCAAGAGAGACAGAAACAAGAGTCAGAGAGGCAGCACTCCCACATGGTCTCCAGTTCACGACCCACTCCCAGTTTTAGCCAGCTCAGGTCATGGGCATGTATGCATCTGGCCTGTTCAGGGAAATGGCTTGACAGGAACCCAGAGCCTTCCCTTGTGGGTCTGCCTTGTAGAGCGTTGCATTATGAGTGTGCCACCATCAGACCCCTGCTATTAACATTTTATGTGCTTATTTTATTGTGTGATTCTTCATCTAACCATCCCTCTAATCCTGGAGTTTTCAACTAGAGACTTTTTCCCCGCTGCACCTCCTCCTCTTCTCCAGGGTATTTGGTGGTGTTTGGAGACATTTTAGTAGTTCCTGCTTCAGAGGGGGATGCTATGGGCAGCTAGTGGGAAAAGGCCAGGAAAGCTGTTAAACATTCTGCATCCAGCTTGTAGGACAGCTCTTCCTAACAAAGCAAACACAACCAAAACTCCATAACCACTCAGACCAAAATGGCAATAGAGCCCAAACTGAGAAACTCCGCTCCACTCCCTCCAGTAAGTCCATCTTGTTTTGGGTACATTTCATGGTAAGTTGCAGACATAGGGATACTTCTCCCTAGGTATCCACCTATAAGTACTTATTTTAATCCTGGACCAGCAGGTGACATAGAGGTTAAGATGCAGGACTCTCACATGGCTGACTGTAGGTTTGAGTCCCAGACTCAGGAGTTTGAAAATCTTGCTCTGTGTGGTATGTGTGTGTGTATCCATAAAATCTCTAGAGGAGACAGGAAGAGAAGGGATTGTGGTGTGGTCACCTCCTAGGGTGGTTCTCACTTTCTCTCTCTCTCTTTGGTAGGTGTATGTGTCCTGTAGCAGAAACTAATTTATGTGTGTGTGTATACATATACACATATATATTTAATCCATATTTTTTTACTATTCAATAGTACCTTTTAGACCATACCTTTAATGATTGATTTCCTTTATTATTATTTTTTCTTTTTTTTAGAGGTTTTTGCTATAGGGCGCGTGCGCTCACCTGACAGATAGAGAGAGACAGAGAGACAGAAAGCGAGAAATCACCCCCCAGGGGGGATGGCCACGTTGCAATCCCTTCTCCTCCATTCTCCTCTCGGGATCTTGGGCATGCACACACATGTGCCTGGCGTGAGTTTTAAGTCACCAGGGCTGGGACGCGAACCGCGGTTGACTACGTGGGAGTCCAGCAACATAGCCATGATGCTAACTACTGGTCCCCTTTATTAGTTTTTTTTTTTTTTTTCTTTTTGGAGAGGTTTTGTCGTTATAGGGCGCGTGCGCTCACCTGACAGATAGAGAGAGACATAGAGACAGCGAGAAATCACCCCCCAGGGGGGATGGCCACGTTGCAATCCCTTCTCCTCCATTCTCCTCTCGGGATCTTGGGCACGCATGCATACGCGCCCAGCGTGAGTTTTAAGCCACTGGATCCGGGACGCGAACCGCGGTCAACTACGTGGGAGTCCAGCGACATAGCCATGACACTAACTGCTGGTTCCCCCCTTTATTAGTTTTTTAAATAGTCACTAAAGTGGTCTTTTGATGTTTGTTTTGTTTTATTGGCAGCACTGTGTTCTTTTTCATTTTCAGATGCTCAGTTCGACTATCAAAGATATATCCTAAGTTTAATGTAATAAAGCTGGCTAGTACTCATTCACTTTGGAATTCAAAGCCAGTCATTTTCCTCATGGGCCTGACTCCAAGTCCTAGGTGGACACTATTAATGAGCCATTCTTTTTTATTTTAGTGGTAGATGACATCCTTTCTTTGAAAGCTTGCAACATTTTTTTCATACTTTCTGTTTCAAAGAAAGATAAATAGTTCTGTTTTTGTTACTTCATTTTTAAAAAAACTCAGTAGCTTTTCAGTTGTTATTTATAGTTATCTGAAAACCTTCTTGGCTCCACAGGTGTTGTTTGTGGCAATTAACTGTTGGTGGAACCAAGGGCAATGCAGAAAACAGAAACACTTCTTTTCTTTTCCTGTAATACATCTGTATCACCGGAGGTAAGAACTTTTCAGCAGTGTTTCTAATTCCAGTTAAGTTTGTCAATTTGTAAATGAATTTTTTTTCTATATAAAAGTATTAAGTATTCACTGTTAGAAAATTGAGATAGTACAGATGAACAAGAATAAAAAAGAAAGGATCTTATCAGCCATTTATAATTCTCTTGTGTTTTGATTTATATCCTCTTGTAAGTGTACATATCCATCCCCCTCTCTTAAGCCAAAGATAGGATTAGGCAGTGAGATTATTTCCTAAACTGCTCATTCTCACTTTTGTGAATATATTTCATGTCATTATATATCCTACAGCATTATTGTTGAAAATATTAATTGCTCCATTGTATGTTATATCTACATTTCAGATGTTCTGAATGTGTTTTGCCATATAAAATGTCTTACTCTATTACCTAGCACCATGGTGTAGTCAAGAAGTTATTGTCTCTTTCTTTCTTTTAAAGACTTATTTTTTTTAGTTTTATTTATTCTTTCATTTATTTTAATTTGACCAGAGAGAGACACAGAGAGAGAGAGAAAGTGACAAAGCAAGCCACCTGGTCTGGGAGTTGAACCATGGTCAGCCATGTCGGAGTATCCAGCACCTTACCCAATCTGCTACCTGCTGGTCCCAAGAAGTACTGTCTTTTTGCTTGAGAAGAAAATTACTTTATGTTCAGAATCCTGTATCTGCAAACCTGAAATCACAAGGAAGATTTAAAAACAGGTCTCATAAATTTCTGACCCAGCCACCGTCGCCTGGCCTGTAGTAGCAGAGGCCACCTGCGGTCTTTGTCCCACTTCGGTGCCTCTGCTCATGTTGCTGCAGAATACTGTCATTCGACATGGGAGTATTACCCAGACCCTTCTGTGGATGAGAGTGATCTGGAAATCAGATGTGAGAGGTTTTGGAAACAGGAGATAGAGTTTTTTATTTGTTCATTGTGATTGGCTTGAAGTTTGTTGAGGGTAAAATGAGTGAAGGAGATTGATTAATAAGTTTTTTTTTTTTAAGGTTTTTACCTAGGGTGTTTGTGCTCACCAGTGATAGAGAGAGGGAAAGTGAGAAACCATCTCCTTGGGGAATAGTATGCTGCAGTCTCTTCTCTTCATTCTCCTCTTGGGATTTTGGGTGGGCATGCACGCACATGCACCTGCTGTCATTTTCAAGCTGCCACGTCCAGGACTTGAACTGCAGTCAGGTCATGTGGGAGTCCAGCACCTTTTTAAAAAGAATTATTTAATTTTATTTATCATCATTACTATTTTTTATTTTGCTACAGGGCATGCACGCTCACCAGAGAGAGATGGGGAGGGAGGGGGGGCTCATGAGAAAGCAAGCGAACAGGTCCAGGACTCGCATTGCAGTCAGCCCATATGGGAGTCCAGCACCTTAACCACCATGCCATCTTCTGGGCCTGAGAGTCTAGCACCTTAACCACTATGCCACCTGCTGACCACCAATATCTTTACTTTTTAGGCTTTCCTTTTTCTCTCCTTATATATTTTATGGGCCTTAGTTAATGGATTCATAGTGTCAACAGACTATCATTTGTGGATTCTCTGTCACATTCCATCACATGCCTGTGTCTCTTATAAACTGTGGTGTGGTGCATAGTATTGTTTTCCAGGAGCTAGGAGGATATTATTTGGGCAAAAATACATGTTCGTACTCCAACTCTACTAAGTTTTCTTCAGATATTAAGTACCTCTGATACAGTTATTTGTAGTAACAAGTCAATTTTTGTCTGGAGAAACCATTAAAATCCATTCTTAGAATCCTTCCTCCTGCTCCTAGCGTTTTGGCCATTTGGAGGTTCTGTCTCTACTTTGATGGTTAAAGGATAGGATTAAAAAAAAAAAGTTGCATTTATTTTTATGAGAGAGAGACAAGAGGCAGGCAGGTACCCTCAAAGGGTCTTGCTATGCCATGATCTTTCCCACAGCTTCTCAGCCTGTCAGGATCACGGTCGTGTGCTTGGTGTGTTCAGGCTGACCTGGGTCCTTCTGATGGCTCCAATACTGTGCAGCAGTGCCTTACTGCCTGTGCTGGAAGTGCAAGTTTTTTAGAGTATGAGAATATTTTCTCAGCCTAGCAGGTGGTGTGGTGGTTAAGGTGATGGATCCCACATGGCTGACTGAACCATTGAGTCCCAGATCTGGCAGCTTGAAAACCATGCAGGGCATGTGTGCATGCACAAATCCCAAGAGAAGAATGGAGGAGGAGAGATTACAATGTGGCCATCCCCCTACGGGGGAGGTGATTTCTCACTCTCTCTCTTTCTCTATCTCTTTTTATCCATTCTGTTTCTCTCTGGCAAGTGCATGGCCCTCTAGCAAATTTAAAAAACAAAAAAAATTTTAAGAGAGATTTTTGCTATACGGTGTGTGCATTTAGCAGAGAGACAGGGAGAGAGAGACAGAAAGCAAGAACTCACCCTCAGGGGTGATGGCTGTGCTACAATCCCTTCTCCTCCATTCTCCTCTTGGGATCTTGCGCATGTGTGCATATGCTCCTGACTTGAGTTTTAAGCCACCAGGTAGGTGCAGAACTTGAACAGGTCAACTACATGGGAGTCCAGCAACATAACCGTTATGCCATCTGCTGGGCCTAAAAAAACAATTTCTTTTGAGAGATTTGCTATAGTGTGTGTGTACTTGACAGAGAGAGAGAGAAAGACAGAAGAGAAATCATCCTGCAGGGGAGATGGCCATGCCACAATCCTTTCTCCTCCTTTCTTCTTTTAGGATTCTGGGCATGCATGCACATGCTCCCAGTGTGAGTTGTGTTCGAGACTCGAACTGCGTTCAACCATGTGGAAGTCCAGCAATGTCACCATTACACCATCTACTGATTCGCCCCAGATTTATTTATTTATTTATTTTTGCAGAGTTTTTTTTTCTTTGTTTTCTATAGGGTGTGCGTGCTCACCAGAAAGAGACAGACAGAGAGACAGAAAGTGACAAATCACCCCCAGGGGAGATGGCCACACTGCAATCCCTTCTCCTCCATTCTCTCAGGATCTTGGGCACGTACGCACACATGCCAGGTGTTAGTTTAAGCCACAGGGTCTGGGACTTGAACTGCGGTTGGCTACATGGGAGTCCAGCTACATAGCCATTGCACCAACTGCTGGTCCCCAGATTTATTTTTTCTCTTAGAGTAACTTTTATTTTAGGTTTTTGCTATAGGATGTGTGTGTGAGACAGACAGTGAGAGGGAAAGTAAGAAATCATCCCACAGAGGACATGGCTACTCTATAATCTTTTCTTTTTCATTCTCCTCCTGGGCTTGTGGACCCACATGCAGGCATGCCCGGTGTGATTTTAAAGCCTCCAGGTCTGGGCCTAAAACTAGGTTTGGCCATGTGGGATTCCAGTGCCTTCACTACTGTGGCACCTGCTGGCTGCCCCCAGAGTAACATTCTTAGCGTTACTACTACTACTACTACTACTACTACTACTACTACTACTACTACTACTACTACTACTACTACTTCTTCTTCTTCTTCTTCTTCTTCTTCTTCTTCTTCTTCTTCTTCTTCTTCTTCTTCTTCTTCTTCTTCTTCTTCTTCTTCTTCTTCTTCTTCTTCTTCTTCTTCTTCTTCTTCTTCTTCTTCTTCTTCTTCTTCTTCTTCTTCTTCTTCTTCTTCTTCTTCTTCTTCTTCTTCTTCTCTTCTTTCTTCTTCTTTCTTCTTCTTTCTTCTTCTTTCTTCTTCTTTCTTCTTCTTCTTCTTCTTTTTTTTCCATAATTTTGCCAGAGTGCTTACCAGAGAAAGACAGAGGGAGATAAAGGATAAAGTGGGAAAGCAACCCCCATAGGGGACAGTCATGCCACAATGCCTTCTCCATTTTTCTCTCCTTTCTGGGTTTTAGGCATATAGACACACGTGTTTTGTGTGTTTCTCAAATCTCTGGGTTTGAGACTTGAACTGCACAGTTGACCATGTGGGATTCAACTGCCTTAAATCCATGCCATGGGCTGGTTCTACTTTTTCTTCTTAAAGATAAGTGCAAGTTGTACTTGAAGGTTCTGATACTCTGCTGTGTAATGGGATGATGAGCTTGTCCTACTGCAGTGCCTGTGTTTCTTTTTGGCCTTAGAAGAGGGCACAAGTACCTGGCGGGGGCTTCAGTTCTGGCAAGCTACCCAGAAATGGGTTTAACTCGATGTGATATTGCAATCAGAAGAATGCCCTTGAATTGAGTATGCATGTCATTTTGGGTTATGTGAGTATACAGTGTTGTCTGATAGTGTTTGTTTTCTTCGCTTTTATAGGAAGACTGAAATGAAATAAATGCCTTTCCCTTATCTTCTTCTTTTTTCTTTTGTTTTTAAGAGAGATTTTTGTTGTTGTTGTTTTTGTTTTTTTCTGGAGGGGTTTTTGCTATAGGGTGCAGGTGCCCACCAGAAAGAGAGAGACAGAGAGACAGAAAATGAGAAATCAGCCCCTGGAAGGATGGCCACACCACAATCCCTTTTTCTCCACTCTCCTCTCAGGATCTTGGGCACGCACACACACGCTCCTTGCGTGAGTTTAAGCCACCGGGTCTGGGACTTCAACTGCGGTTGACTATTAAGAGAGATTTTTGCTATAGGGCACCTGTGCTTGCTGCAGAGACAGACATAGTGAGAAATCCCCCCTCCCCCCCCCAAGGTGGATGGCCATGCCGCAATCCCTTCTCCTCCATTCTCCTCTTGAGATTTTTGGGCACACACACATGTGCTCAATGTGTGAGATTTAAGCTGCTGGATCTGGGACTTGAACTGCTATCAACTATGTGGGAGTCCAGCGATGTAACCCTTAACCAGCCATCTGCTGGTCCTAACCTTTCCCTTATCTTCACCTGTTAAGTTTTACTTAGGTCACTTCAGACCCTTTACTGCTCGTTTCTGTGCTAAAGCACAGAAATTCCCCCCAAATAGCTTTTTCATATTCTATCTTAGAAGCCTCAGGGCTTCTGCTTTATACATACACATATATGTGTGAACGTGTTCATCCGCT